TAGTCTAAGAATCGAATTCGAATTTCGATTCAAACTAGGCTTCCATGAGTGCGTAATGTCAAGGCGATATCACTCGTGTATGCAAGTAGGTCTGACGCGTAACAATAAGCGATTAACGGATCCGCACAATCATCACATATGAAAATTAACACAAACACCAACTCTTCATATGCAAAGTTTTTTTATTAGAAATGGGTTCAACTAATGCTAAAAATAAAATTACGCGAACTACCATATAATCTAACACTAAGCTAACAATCCGTTATGGCAGAATTTGAATAATCATTCGAGGATCACTCAAGCATGTGTAAAAAAAAGAAAATATTCCCCCTACGGACGTAGCTATTCACATTTTACTAATAATTTAGTTAAGATTCATCAATTGCCTCCTCTTCCAAAAACTCTTCTCTGAGAATATCCATATATTTGCTCCAAAGCCATCGTAAAGCATCTTTTGCTGTTGGTCTATTGAATTCATCCTTTGCCATCAAGTTCGTTCTTGCATAGACTTTCAATTCATCAGATTCTCGAATTTCAATAGAGGTCGTCAGAATCAAATATCCGACAGACCAGATATCGACGCTCTCATTATGAAAGGGCTTAAAAATCTCGGGTGCATGGTTATCTTTAGCTAATTGCGTATTTTGAACAGCCGAAGGAATCTGGCACGCTTCATCGAAGTCAATAATGAACCACTTGTCCCGATTGATGTATCTCAACACATTTTCCCAGCGGATGTCGCGGTGCATGAATTTCATTTTATGAAGAGCCTGTGAATTGATGATTAATTACAAAATGCCCATGTTTTCATTAATAAATATAAATATGTATACCTCGAGTGCGGTCAAAACACAACACAACGCCTTGATCAGTTGTTCTTTTGATTGTGGTTTACAATCCACTCCTTTTGGTGTAAAAATCACGAATGGAGTTGATCCTTCCTTTATATGTATCTTCTCTAGGCATTCGATGTAAGGAACATGGTACTCGGCAAGTTTATCATAAAGGAGCTTAAGATTCATAACAGAATCCAGTGAAGGATAACGTTTTACAATTTTTTTTTGCATAAGTTCAATCACTTTACCACTCGATCGGTGAAGGACAATAAATTCTTGCTGAAAATATTCCGGTACAGTTTGACGAAGTAAGGTCAGCAATCGGCCAATGTTTCTTCCAATATTGAAAGCTTGTATGCGTCCTTCTATTTCATCGAGTGAACAAGTGATCAAATCTTTCCGCTTAATATTCTCTTCTTCGAAATATAAATAGCAGTAAGTTACACTGGTGGCAACTGTATAGTACCCAAAGATGTAAGGGCAATTCCCGTACGTCCATGTCAATTTAGAGGTTAGCTCCACTGCTGGATCATCATGATTTTCAGGTCCCTTTTCCTCCCCTCTTGCAAGACAGGCACCAAATACCAAATATGAAAGATCTGGTCGAAATTGATTTGTGGAAGTGTGGTGAGATGTGTTTCGATTATGCACTCCCTTAGGACATCCGATTTTAATAGGTTTAATAATAAGTGCGTCCCAAAACGCATGGAATGAATCTTCCGTTGTACCGATCAAGGGTGGATAGGCGATATTGTTTATAAATTCGTTCCATACTCTCATGGAAGCCTTGAACGAGCTCACAAAGAATTGATTCAAAATCTCTGGAGAGAGTTCTGGTCGAAAGTATCGATCGTAGTTCGTTGGATAAATTTCGATCGGCTGGAAATACGGTTGTTGAAGATAGGTAAGTAAATTATTACGGGCTGGAATATATTCAGGTTTCATGTTGAGCATGTTTCGGGTCGAGATATATAGAACATCATCTATGTTGAAACAGGCTGATTAGAAATACGAGTTCGAGGGTAAGTACCATTTTATACTTTAAATCTTACCAT